AAAAAAAAAAAAAAAAAAAAAAAAAGAAAGAAAAGGAGTAAGGGGAGAATATTTTTTTCAAACTAAGGAATCAATGTTGGTGGATTGAATGAATGACATAAGCTAAAGTAACCAACGACAACAGCAACAACAACAACAACAACAATAAAAGCAACGTCAATTAGTGCTGCAAATAGTGAATGATACTGATGTAAAGAAATTCAAGAAATTATATTCAATAAAAACTATTAAATATCAATCGAAGTTCTTTTTGCGTTTCACTTTACAAATTTAAAATATATTATAAAGGAAGCATAAAATTTTTATTTCTTTATTTCATATTTATATTGTTGTACATTTTTGAATAACAAACAAATATTTTAAGCCAACATTGTCGGCAAAAACAAATATTTTAGCATTCTGAGCAGGACGTTGTTGTCATTAGCTTTTCCACTTAACTAACTAAAAAATATCACTATCAAGCTTCAAAATCTATATCAAAGGTGCCTTCAGATATTAGCCCTAAAAAACCTAATCAGTCTATATTAATAAGTAAATACCGGCATCTCCACTTACCTTAATGTTCTTAGCGGCACAGATCTTCTAAAATAATATAAACCTTACAAGATTAAATGAGCTATATTTATTCAGAAGATTTACCACGTAAGACTTGTTTGATCCGGCAGCTTCAAGGTATACTTCTTCTGAAGAAACTTTGTTTTTCAAATTTTAGAAATATATAAGAGAAGTGAGAAGAACCAACATAGTAGAAGATTGTTTCCTAAAACGTAGTCATTCCTGTTGTTCATTCAACTTTTATAGTTTGGCGACACCAGTTCAGCGGTCAAACTACCGAAGATTTCTTCCATCAGACAAAACAGTTAAAGGAATCTTTATTGGAGGACTTACCGGTGGTATAGAAATTTGTATAACATTTCCGACGGAATACGTTAAAACACAGCTACAGCTAGATGAACGTTCAGCGAAACCAAAATTTAAGGTTTTTTTGAATTTAAATTGTTTTAACCTGTTGTAAATGCAGTCCTTTAATTCATCACTGTAGACGACGAAGCATTGTAAAGATGATTGTTGATATGGAGTTGGCTGATATATTAACTATTGTCTTTTGCTTTGAACATTTATGGTTTTAACAAACCCACTCAGTGAAGCTGCAAAAAAAAAATGAAAGCTTTTTCTTAGGAAACTTTTTTTTGTTTGATAAGAGTATTTAGGGACCAATTGACTGCGTGAAACAAACTGTCCGAACTAAAGGTTTTTTTGGTTTGTACAGAGGCCTTTCAGTGCTAATCTACGGTTCCATTCCAAAATCTGCATTTCGGTATACTCTTATAAACATTTTGCTACTTGCCCAAACGATTCAGATGCAAACAATTGGCGGTATAACTCTTTGTAGGTTCGGAACTTTCGAGTTTCTCAAATCACATGCTGTTGACGAGAAGGGTAACCTACCGCCAGTAATGCGGCTCTTGTGTGGCTTAGGGGCAGGTAAACTAATTTAAGAGCGTTCTTGTTACAACAATGAAATAGTTTGGTAACTGTTTGAATTGCATTATCAAAAATCTTTATAGGGCTCTCTGAAGCGGTTTTTGCCGTTACGCCAATGGAGACCGTCAAGGTGAAATTCATTCACGACCAAGCATTAGAAAAGCCAAGATTCAAAGGTTTCTTGCATGGACTCAGAATGATTGTCAAAATGGAAGGACTTAAAGTACGATAGAATAATTATTTTGAAATGCAAATAACTTAGAACTGTTACTTGCCACAGAACGACACTACGACCAAATCGCGTTACAGGGTCTCTATCAGGGAGTGACAGCTACAATGGCAAAACAAGGATCTAATCAAGCAATAAGATTTTACGTCATGGAAACTTGCAAAGATTGGTAAATTGCTAGTAGTTCGAGTAGATACCTATGGCAGTAGTTTTGTATTGGTTAGGTGTAATGCTAGTCAGGTCTTACAAATATTAGAGCTTTAATAGTTTACATGATTATGCCACTTGTATTGCAGGTATCGAGGTGGAGACAGTTCCAAAACGGTCAGTAAACCTGCAGTTGGCGTCTTTGGAGCATTCGCAGGTGCCTGTTCGGTTTACGGTAACACGCCAATTGATGTCGTCAAAACCCGAATGCAGGGGCTAGAAGCTAAGAAGTATAAGAATACTATAGACTGTGCAGTACAAATATGGAAGAAAGAAGGATTTTTTGCGTAAGTCTTTTGAGAATAACAAAAAAGCCTTTCGTCAAACATAAGTCTTGCTTGAAATGATCCAGCAGATATAAGTAAAGGGGAATTTCTTACTGCCAACCGTAAGTCCCTCAATAGGTTATGCTTGAAAATACTTTGCTTTTAAATTAAAAGAATGAGCAGTCATGAAGTATTCTGAAAAACTGCTTAGTAAAATTTATTCTTTTTACTATTACTTTGAGTGTCGCTATGAACTAGTTTTTTTATAAAATTAAGATCAGTCATATGTTAGTATAGGTGTAGTACTAGTTAGCTTTTATAGATATTGGAAAAAAAAAATCTTCAAACTTTGGCTATTCTAATGGTTAGTCATTTTCATTTTCCTCACGTAAACAAAAAAGCTCATTTGTCGTAAGTGATTTTCAGGCTGTTTTATATCCCCTCAGAGAGAACCTAAACATTAAAACCTCAATTTAAAGAAATGCCTTGTGCATTTAGAAGAGCGGTGGAAATAATCAAATACAAAGGAAATTGCTCGCTTTAACAGTTTCACCATATCCTTTTGGCTGCTGTTAGTTTTCAGCAGTATTCGAAACTGAAATTATGTTTACTTCAGATTTTATAAAGGCACGGTGCCACGACTAAGCAGAGTTTGTCTGGATGTTGCCATCACATTCATGATATACGATTCGTTGATGGAATTTATTAACAGGCACTGGAAAGTGAAGAGTTGATCAGACAGAGGCTCTCGTCGATGCAGCCTAAAATGAATTTGCTTAACACCTTAACTGGGATGCTTCTGAGAATTCCGCAAAAAATACTTTAACTTCTCCCATTCTCGGAATAATTTAGCTTTTCCATCTGAACCTATTTATATTGTAACATAAAAGAGGATATATTTGGTGCTTTTGGCATGCCATGTAAACCATCGATTAGCTTTTTAATTATTAAAATTTAATAAGTGAGAAGCATTTCCCTTATCCAGTGTCTTAAACAAATTAATTTCTGCTCATAAGCCAAGATCTCAAGAAGTTCTTAAAACTCTGATGTCGGACCAGTTTTTAATTGTAAGTAAACTTCCAATCAAGTCGTGTTGGACGAAACAATATCAATGGTTATTTGATATAAAGTTGGAGATATATCAAATTCACAAAAAAAGACGAACAGCACAATCAGTCTTCACGTCTTACTTATCCAGCGGAGATACCTAAGTACGCTACGGCTCTATATCATTCAAAGTCAATCAAGTATCTGCGAGCGCCAAATCTTGTCACTTCAAGAAGCTTCATTACTTCAGTCCTGCACAAAGTTCAGGTGTGATGATCTATAAATTTCAACTTTCAAAACTTATGCTTTCACCAGCTAGATGTGAAACACGGGTTTGCTACAAACTTGCCCCATAACCTACTTTTTAAAACATTAGAGTGAAGTCACGGAGTGCAGCACAAAAGGCCCCGTTATCTTCTGACTTAAAAAATTCGCTGAGCGGTACAGACACACTAGAGAATCCATGTTTAGTCGTGTCTTCTTTCAACACATAGTGGCGGTGTTATCTAGCCTTACTTTCTTGCAAAAGCTATAGAAACTGAACAAGATAACAACTCTCTCTTTAACACTGTTTGGAGATTACGGCAAAGAGACTCCAAACTACCTAGCATGAACGGTAAGGCAACCCACATCTGCACAACATCTTTTCTGAACCTGGCCCTCCATAATACTTAGCCCTCAATCTGAATAAACCTCGTTTGGAAACAAGATGCACTTTCAAGTGTTATACTAAGACTTCAAAGCTAAAAAGATCTGACAGGTGACTCCAGGTTCTTGTTGCACCAGACTTCACCCACGACTAAGCATCTCTGGGAGCACAGAAAAAATTGCTTGGCATTCTTCATACAGACGAACTGTCCTACATTGAAAAAAATTGGCAAGACTTTCGATGAGATCGTTTTATGTCGTGTTACATGGGTTACACATCGAAACGGCTTTATTAAAGATACCGAAGTCTAGTTAATAATTCGGAATGTACAAATAACCATGTTACAGGCAGTTATACACAAAGAATACTTCTTAAATACGGATAAATGAATGAACGCAAATTATTCCAAGTCAGAGTTGAAATGAGATCGGAAAAGACGTTGAGAAGTAAACAATCATAACAGTGCAACTTCACCAGTCCTCTAACTAGCTGCATTTTTTTAGCTCCTCCTTGATGATTTTGCTTATTTCACCAGGCTTATTCTGTTTCAACAACACGTATTTGCCACTAGAAAAAGCCTTTACTTCAACAAAGTTCTCCGCGACTTCAGAAAGAAGATTTAACTGGTTCTGAATATCGTCTGAAAAAGCCATGATTAGGGCACGCAGCAAAATTCTAAACAGTATAAATATCTAAGCCTCAGCAATAACTCTGAACAATCTCTTTGTAAGTCTGCTTTCCAGTGAAGGCAATGTTAAGAAAGAAACCCTTGCTTAAGGCATATAGTTTGAAATGACTGTGCAGGGATAATCACTGACAAAAGATTTGCAAAACCCCACTTCTAACCGCAAAAGTCCAAAGAAAATTAGCAAGCAACCTTCAAATTTCACAAATCAGAAATGATTTGTTTTAAAACTAAATAACAACCAATGACTACAGAAGAACATCAGTACGCACAGAAGTGTACGAAATAAATGAAGCTAGTTTGTTAGGAGTGAACCGAGTCCACAATGAGACAAAAAAAAAAAACCACTGCATCGTAACCAAAAGGCAGCTGTTCTGTTAAGTTAATATCTTTTTTTAGAGTACCTTAAGTAAGTGAGAATAAAACTCTCAATACGTCATCCTTCCCCAAAAGCTACCTTCATTTAGAGAATAACTAAAAGTTCAGCAAGCTTCTTCATAGTGCAAGAAAGTTGCTCACTTTTACTCCAAACGCCAAGACCGCTCCGCATTTTCTCGCACACAAAGGGGAGTGGTAACGAGCCAGTTTTATTGAAAGTGAACAAACTGAAAACTTTGAAGATAATGTTATGACGTAATTAAACGCGACAGCAGGACGAGAATATCAAAGCACTCAAATTTAACTCTGTAGTGGAACTAACCGGCAAAACCGCAAAAGATAAGAAGATAATCCCTGTAGGTTAGCTCTTCTTGACTCTTTTACCGGGTCGTACAAACCTTCCCTTCGCTTTCTTTCCATCTCCTTCATTCTTATCTGTAAAAAATAAATAACCAAATGATAATAAAATGAAGCTTTGGATATTAAATAAAAAACAAACCCTTTCGAGGATAGACAAATTATCCGGTTTCTCCTTACATTCTGCTGCAAATTTACGAGGCGACAGTGATATTTCACGTCCTTGCACGATGGCTGACTTTTTGTCTGGGCTTCTTAATAAGTCGATAGTGTCCTGAAAAACAAAACCAACAATGAAGAAAAACTAATTCCTGATCCGAAATAAATGAAAATATATTAAAAGTTAAAAAACGAAACCACATATAAAAAAAATATTAACCATATCTAACCTGAACTTTTGACAAAAGACTATTGTCTTTCACCATACGCAGATAGCTCTTAGCATTTCTACACAAATTATTGTTACTCTCAGGAATTTCTGGTAGAGTAGCCTCGGGTATGTCTTCAAAAAGATCATCATCAAGGCCCTCCAAACTATGAGGATGACAACTGCTTTCAAATTCAATTGGACTTGATAATTCTGGAAAACGAAGTCTCTAATTCTTCCGTGACATATATTTTAAGACTAAAGACTGGAATAGTTGACAAAACGAGTGACCAACTTTTTAGTCCTTCCAATAAACTACTTTTCTTCTCCCTGATGAATTCTATTAGCTGGTACTTGAAGACCGCAGCCCGAGCTACCAAACGCCAGGCTTCTAACTTAGGACGCAGATCGCGCTCTAGAGGCCTTCAAATGAGTGATTTTATGAATAAAGATCTCTAAAACTTAAAAACATAGATCGAAACCATAATTTAATAATAAAACAATCTTTTCGTGAGCATCAATACCATTTGCAATTGTGAAGAAATACCTCAATGACGGTGCCATCTTTACCGGAGTTTTTCTTGGTGAGCCTACCAAGTGCAGTTTGATAGGTGAGGACAACGGTGAATGAATAACAGGTGTAGGTGCACCTTTAACTGGTGTTTTGGATACCATGTACTCCCAGATATCTAATAACGAGTTAATGAAAAGCAACTTGTTAAAGGTGTTACGTCACCGAAAGACAGAAAGACCAAAAGCAGAAAGTTCTTCCGTAAGTTAATAACTAAGAATGCCATCTTACAGGATGATAAGTCTCAGAGAAAACACAAGAGGCGACATTCCACAGACAACCGTGTTAGAAATGATGAGAAGGATAAGCATGGAAAAACAACGATAAGAAAGCAGAAGTATCTACATCTTTTTTTTTCTGCAATTTTTTCAAAAACAATTTAGCATAAAACCTCCCACAAAAAATCACAAGTCCTTAACAGAAACCTTCGACGCACCAGTCAAATATTAAAAAAACAACCGTGTTCCTGCCAACATTTTATTTACAACTCCCGCATCTATGTGCTTAAATTTTTCCTATAAGGTTAAAAACGTTGACACCAAGTCACGAAATGCACAAACCGGAAATATGATTTAAAAAATTTTGGCAGACCCTGTTAATAATAACTAGCTTCCGGTGGCTATAAAACCAATGAGAAATTACGGATAATTTAACATGACTAAATTTGCCAAATTTAACTACAAAGTTTTTTTTCATTTTATTTCATCTGGCATCCTCTACTGTGAAAAATTCCAGTGTTTCGACACCCCCTCTTTCACTGTATTTCACTACTCTATGACGTCCCTCAAAAGCTTTTTAGTCTCCTATACCGGCTGCCTCCTTACTCCTTCTCCAGAATGAGTTCAAAAAGAAAAGTCAGCTATAAGCTAAAAATGAAAAAAGATAGAGAGAGAGACGGATTCAGCGGGGAAGGGATGAAGAAGGAAGAGGAGGGAATGGCAACCCTATCAATAACACTTAATAATTGTTGAGAGGAACAAAGTTTGAAAGAAAAAAAAAAAAAAACAAAAACTGACCATCAACGAGATTGGCTTCAACAATATATTTGAATCTCCCCTGACAACCAACTTCTTCAGCCTTACACTCTTCCACACGAACACTGTAGGCGCGTGGGTAGAGGAAAACTATTTGAGCAAAATTCTTCACTGTGAAATTCCTGAATAGAGCAAATTCGTCAGAAAAAAAAACGTTGTTCAAAAAAACCAAGTGTATTTAAATTTATTTTCAAAAAACGTTTACACAAAAAACCCTACTTTCTAACGGTGGACGTAACATTTCGCATGATAAAGTCAAGGGTCGTTTTCAAACTTCTACCTTGATACATCGATATAATCTAAAAATAAGTGCATATTATAAAAAAAATAACCACCCAATAAAAATGACACATTGCCAGTGTTTCAAATGACAAAAAAAGTTCCAAAACGTAAGCAAAAACTTGCCCTTTCAGCAGACTCAAAAAGCTTCAACAAGTTCTCATATTTTTTTGGCAATTTGTATGACGCACACTCTTTAACTTCTGGTTTCAACAACGAAGCTTGCCCATAATCCAAGCACCCTTTTCTGCTAAAAATAAAAAACGTCAGAAAAAGCTCAACGAGCCTTGATAGAAATGAGGCACACAAAGAGCTATATAAAAAAAATTCTCACCGTTCTCCTTCTTCTTCTGATACTTCCACGGGAATGTTTTCTGGCTGAATTTTTTGAGGTGTTTTCAGCACTTTAACAGGTTTTAATGGTGATTTTGCGGGACTAACAGGAAGCCTTACCGTTTTGGTAGGCGAAAGTAGAACGGCTTCTTCATTGTCAACCTTAACTTCAGCTGTTAAGAAAGCTAGGAAGAAACCCATTTTACCACGACCTACACTTGCAAAATACTGGAACCCAAACTAAACCTTTGATGATTTGAAATTCAAATTCTGTTTATGAAGATCTGAAGCAATTCCCTGGCAAGCCAAACGCTCTTGCAGTTCGAAAACTGTCTTAAAGCCCTTGGCCTTATTCGTATTCACTCGAGAAAAAACTAAAAAAAGTAGTCAAATCTGTTCTTCTCAAAAAAGTAAATTTAAAAAAAAAATTTTGCCTTTTCTTTTTGAGGGCGACAAGTTGCAACCGGACTTCGAAACACCAACGCTACCAATATCACCACAGTCATTCGCAAAAGACTAAAAAATTTTGCCCCTCGTGAACGTTCAATCAAAAAATAGGCAAAAGAAAATTTAATTTCATATTACATATCACTACTTTTGAAGGTAGGTCCAGTAAATATATCAAACCGAAAGTCGAGATTCCCAGAAAGAAAAACTGAGTCAGTTCAGCTTATTTTCCGCCAAAAACTCCTTCCACTAAACACGCTTCACTATCAAAAGCAACCTGAATATTGTTTCAAGACTACCTGCTAAAATTACGATAGATAAAACAAAATATAAAAAGTTACCGGCTCTTCACCGTCAAAACGAAGACGACGTTTGACTGGTCTTGGACTGTTCTCAACTTCCAAAGCTTTCACACCGCTGGTAGCTTTGTACTTATCTTCAGTTGCTGCCTGCAATACTTTTCTTAGAAGATTCAAATAAGGAGCTTTAAAGTATCATAAATAATACAAGAGGATTAAAAAAAATAGAAACCTTCTGCTCCTTTCCCGATTTAAGAACCAACTTTTCAGTCGTTGCTGCAATTTCAAAGTGCTCTTTCGCAGCAACCTAAAATTGATATATATTCCTCATAAACAATCAGACTAAACTCCAAAGAGCGAAATCACAAAACAGAATACTGGACCTCAGAAAAGTCGTACGACACTGTACTTGAAGGATTAATAGGATCGAATACGCCATTAGTAGTTTTTACATCCACATTTTTA